TGCATTTCAAATTCAAAAACCACTCCAAATTGGAAAACAAAAAAGACGCATAATATATCAAGTGACTCATCTGATTTAGACAACCCAAGTAGTATCGAATATGATGACAGCACGGACACCGAAAGTTTGAATTCTTCCAATTATTCTGATGATTTTAATCCTCGTTTGAATCTCAAGGCTGAAAATAGTAAGACTGATCGTTTTAAACCAGACTTAAATATAGACGATTATATTATAGTACAATTAACAACTCAAAAACAAAACAAAAAATGTTACATTGGTAAAGTGTTATCACTTAACCCTATTTTTTGTGATTTTTTGAAAAGGAATCCAAAAATTCCGGATGCTTTTATGTTTCCGAACATTAAAGATCAGGGGGAGATCCAAGAAAATTAATATATAATGAAACTACCTCCACCTCAGGTACTCAGAAGAGGCAGTTTAGTTTTTGAAAAAAAATTATTGAAAAAATATTTGATTTAATTCTAGTTTTTTTTTAAGTGATGTGATTAAAATTTGTGATAATGTAACCTCAACCTGGGTCGAGATTTGTACAAGTATATATCGTAGAGAATACTAAAGTAAGAAACTGTGCAAAATTCTAGGTGCCTATGAACACTTTTAAAGGGGAAAATTACCTCTGAAAATTTATCAAGTGGGGTTATCCACTCCTTTATTGTGCAAAAAAAAATTCTTACGTGTTAAATTTTGCATTTCAAAAGTTTATGCTTCATTTGAAAGTTGTGAACAAAAATGAAAAGTGTTATCATCTGTATTTATGGGTAGCTAAAATTTAGCACAGTTTTTTACTTCAACATCATATACAATATATACACAAATCTCGACCCAGGTTATGGGGTAAGTATTTTTTAAGAAGTTGTTTTATTTTGTGATATTTTGTTATGATCCAACAGAAATGCTTTACTTTTATGTTTAGAGTTACCGTTTTTTTAACATTTAATAAAATAAATGAAACTACTTGTTTTTTCTGTTTATGCTACCATAATAAAAGAATAAATCCAATTTTTAAAAAGTAATGGCCTAAGTTATTATTATAAGTTTGATTTAGTTGGTCAAACTTTAACATGATCTCGTATGCACAACACAGAGATGAACCTAATAGCATGATTTTGGACTAATTGGTATTCATTAGTTACCTCTGTGAACGTATGAGCCAGTCGTTGTTGCCTTATGATATGAATGAGTCACTGATAAGTAAAAACTGCTGACGTAACTAAAAATATCCTTGGTTTTATGTACTTTTAATTTCGTAAAGTCAAAAGCAAAATTTCATAATATAATTTATTATATCTTTGAGTGATTTAAACGAACTAATTTCTACACACCAGACATTTTTAATTTCAAAAATTAAAATAGACCATAAGGTTTTCTGACTGAATGTGCAAAAAATCTAGAATATTGCATATGTCCACTTTTAGAACAAACATTAGAGCCAAGAAAGTGTAAAATTCGAACGTATACTTACTCTACTGATTAAGACATCTAAAACCTCGATTTTAGTGTAGCTTTTTTTTGTACGTAAAATCAGATTTTTTTTCTTAAACATTTCAGTTTGTTGCTTAGCAGCACAATACATTTTATTCATTTATTGTTTTCGTCTGAAGGGAAAGCACTTCAGCTTACCTAGTCACCGTACGTTAGTAAACACTTGGTAAAAAAAGGTTTAAATTCAACATCATTATCGGCAAAACAAAAAAGTCAAGTAAAAAAAAGTTAACAATCGCCCTGTAGTACATTATGTAAACAAATTTTGAGGAAATCAAAAGGAAATCATCGGAAATCAAGAGGAAATCACAGGAAATCATAGGAAATCAAGAGGAAATCAAAGGAAATCAAAGGAAATCAGAGGAAATCAAAATAAATCGGGGGAAATCAACAGGAAATCATTGTCAAAAGGAAATCAATTGTACACTTGATGGTCGGCGGTTTACCCCTCGGTTTGGAAGTAGTTGTTCAACAACCCCTCATTAATATGCTTGTTTGTCCATATAACAACTTCTTTTCATTATGTAGCGTTTTTAATTATTTGTATTTTTAAAGTTCCAAAATTTATAAAGGAACTTCTTCAGGAACTTACATAATTCATAAAGTGCGAATATTTTTTTTGCAAAGTGTACACCATTGTAATATTTTAAACAAGGACAGGATTAAAATTACAGAGATTTTCAAGCATTAATAGGAAATAGTTTTCTCCAAAATGCATATCTCTCTTCGAATAAATTATTTCGTACAACAAAATCGTTTCCAATTTCTAAATATCTTTTCGTTACTTGATTATAAGTTTTCCAGTCTGGAATTCCATTGCTGTCACCCAGCCCGTTGGGATTTCTACAATTAATAAATAGATAGTCAAAATCAGCTACACAAAATAACACTTGTTATGAAAAGACTTACCCAAATTTAGCAAAATTTGACCATAAATGTACCATCTTTTTGGACACGTTAAGGTTAGGAATATTTGGAAATAGTGCAGTGACTGTGGCAATAAATGGATTATAAAATAAATATAACTGTTCCGTACCATGCATCACAACTAAAACATTTAAATACAGACTGAATATAAAAATTAAAACATGTTTTTTACGATATGTAAGATTTAATTCTCGATATGTGAATTCGTAATAATACACTTGTTTGCTGCCATATTGAGAAAATAGCTCAACAAGTCTGTTAACACCAAATCCAATAACAGCATCCATGAAGGCCTAAAGTTACTTGTAATATAAAGAATTAGTACGTGTATATATTATTGTTACTTTTTCTAGTCCAGAAAGAGACGTTTTGTTTAAGTGTCCATCCCCTAGGTAAAACTCTCTAACTTGTCGACTAATTTCTTTAGATCTGTTGGTGTTTCTTTCATACAAGAAAATAACCGGTCCCCATTTGTCAAAGTTGTCATCTAATTCCTTTAATAAACTAGAATTGTTAACTATAACTTCAAAACGAAAAAATTAAGAACGAATTAAAGCTTCCATCACTTTACAAATACCAACTGCATTGTAAGCAAATTCGTCTTTGACAATTCCTGATAAAATAGGAACATCCTGAAAACGATGTTCCACAATGGACTTTATTGGATGTTCGATGAGGAACCGTTCCTGGCCATAGTCTTTTTCTATTACAGGCAGCCAGATTATAGATGGATTATTGGCAAATTCCTGTGAAAAAAATTAGGTTAGGTTTTGACAACACAGAAAAATGTGTTACATTAAATTTTGGTAAAGTATTAGCTATTTCGGAAGCAGGTTTCGTCCGCAAGCAACTCAAAATTTCCTCCGGATTGCCATCCGGGCATCCAACGAATCGAGCTTGTTTTCTAGCCAAATCCAACTGGTGACTTGGTAGGGGCCACTGACTTATCGCTCAACAACTACCAATAATTGCTTTATTAAAAAGGTTACGAGACATTGGAGAAACCAAATGAAGACTGGCACTACATGCACCTGCACTAAAGCCAAACAAGGTAATCGAGTTTGGATCACCACCAAACGCTGATATGTATTTCTTTGTCCACTTCATAGCTATACTACCTGATCTTTAAGACCATTGTTGCCTGGGACGTTTTCATTAACGGAAATAAAACCAAGAGTAGCTAAGCGGTAGTTAGGGGCAACCAAAACCACGTCTTCATCTAGAAAGAATTGAGGACCGTACACATCACTACGTGCTGTTCCCAGAAAAAAACCTCCACCGTGTAGGTATAAGATAACTGGAAGTTTAAGCTGCTCTTGTTTGCCTGGAAGCTAAAACAAAATATCACAAAAAATATATGGTTGAGGAATGTTAAACCTTGGGCGTATAAATGTTGAGATACAAACAATCTTCTGAAATGGGGTAATTAGGTATAAGGGTTGGAGGCTGAGGACAAGCTGCGCCATCACGTGTAGCATCGTAAACACCAGACCAGTTTGTTATAGGAACTGGAGGCTAAATGAACGTTTTTGTATACTTTAAAATAACTAAATTAATAATACCTGAAACCTTAGGTCGTCAATTGGTGGTTGGGCATAACGAATTCCTCTGAAAGAATAAATCGTTCTACCTGATCGTGATTTCAGAATTGTTGAACCTAATATTTCGCCCAAAGGAGTGCTGATTTTAACATTAGACAAAGCAATTGTTTCGTCAGAAATTAACAGCAAAATCAAGCAATTCAACATAGTTACAAGCTGAAAAGTACGATGGACTATTTCGGGCTACTGCAAGACGTCAGGTGTAGTAATCGAATCGAATGCTTTTGTAGTTGTCGATAATTTTAGAATTGTAAAAAAAACTGCAAATGTAGTCGATGACAATATGAAGGTGATAATTGACGTCTGAATTTTCAAGGTAGTTAATATATCAAGAGGAAAAATGACACCCAAATTCCGCAGCAAATTATTAGAATGAATATGTAAATAATTGTAAAATGCAAACAAGGTTGTAATAAATTTGTCGCATTTGTCATTCCAATATTATGGTAGCACTAATATAACTTGTCATAGTGTTATACCTTCGTAATGGAAATTTTGCTTTAGTTGTACTTTTTGTTAGCAAGAATTGTTGGTTAAAGGTTTAAACTTTACTCAAGCTTGGTGCGATTTTGAAGCACTACTTTTGGAGGGTTATCAAAGTTGTTGTGATATTCGTATAATTTACTTAGTTCACAATATCAACTTTTTAAAATTTTTGTTAAGCTTTGTAAATTCTTTTTTAAAATATATACATACTTAAGACAAATAGCGCTAACACTTTTCAATTTGTAGACATGAGAGTAAAACAGGAGCTAAATTAAAAGATGTTTTCTTCGAATTGCAATAACCGGATTACAATGCCGACGGCGACGGTCCAGTCTTTTTTATTGCCCTGACTTCCGCTTATTGAATAAAATACTACATTTTATTTTGATTTTCGATGTTGTAATTCACATTTGGTTAATTATAACTTGTAAGGTAACAAGCAGGTCACCAACAAAAATCACCCCACTCAAAAAGCAAGAAATGGAAGACATAAAAAAGTTGTTAGCGGAAATGAAGAGAGACCTAAAAAAGGAGATGGAAGAAAATAAGAAAGAAATAAGGGATGGTATTTATGATTTAAAGAAAGACTTAACAGATCTAAGAACAGAAACCCGAGAAAACAAGGAAGAAATACAAAACCTGAGACAAGAAATAGAGAAGAAGGAAGAAAGTTGGATAAAGGAGAAAAACGAATTAAGGGACAAACTAGCTGAAATGGAAGAAAGACTGGAAACCTTAGAAAGAGACAAAAGAAGGAATAATCTAGTAATAACTGGAATAAAAATAAATACAGATAATGAAGAAATATGATTGAAAAGGAAATCGGACTACAAATAGAGGTGACAAAGGCATATAAAGTAGGCGAAAAGATATGCATTATTGAAACAAAAAACTGGAATGACAAAATGGAAATTCTAAAAAAGAAAAGTGTGTTAAAGAACAGACCCAAAGGACAGGAAATATATATTAACCCAGATTACACTGTGAAAGAAAGGATAATTCAAAAGAAAATACGAGAGTTTGCAAAGAAGGAGAGAGAACACGGAATCTCTGTGAAAGTTAAATTTCAAAAAGTTGAAGTAGAAGGGAAATTATGGAAGTGGAGCAAAAAAGACGATAAACTTATAGAAGATAAGATAAGAGAAGACTCAAAAAACTAGCAGAAATTGAAAAGGAAGGAACGATGATGACATTTGCTACGGAAAAGGAATATGAACAAGAAAAAGAAAAGGGAAGAAAAAAGAAAATCGAACAAAGAAAGAAATCAGGAGAAACTGAAAATACAAAAGAAACCTTGGACGAAGAAAAGGATAGAATAAGTATTATTTTTTGGAACATATGTGGGTTGAAGAATAAAGATAAAGACTTTTGGGATTATATAAGGAAATTCGAGGTGGTGGGCTTGGTTGAGACTTGGGTAGAAGAAAAAAACTGGGAAAATACTAGAAATAAATTGCCAAAAGAATATAGATGGAAATCCGAACATGCGAAAAGAAGCAAGAAGAGGGGAAGAGCAAAGGGTGGAATAATAACAGGCATTAAGGAAGATGTAGAAGAAATAGAGGAAGAGAGAATTAAATCAGTTGAAGGAATACAAGAGAGAAGAATTAAAATAGGGGACAATAGTTGGAGGATAATGACAGTATACAGTCAGAACGTAAAAAAGACCAGTAGAGATTTAGATGAAATAAATTATGAAATAGATGAAAAATATTGCTTGGTGGTAGGCGGGGATTTCAATGCTAGAATTGGAAACAAGGGAGCTGAATGGGAGTGGGACAAGGAAAAGGATGAGGGAAAAAGGAAATCAAAAGACCGAACAGAGAACAAAGAAGGAAAGAAACTGTTGGAGTTGGTAGAGGAAAAGGGATGGAAAATACTGAATGGGAATACAGAAGGTGACAAAGAGGGTGAATACACATATATAGGGGGGCAAGGGAGATCAGTTATAGATTATGTTATCTGTAATGAAATAGCGGACCATGGCATCAGAGATATGGAGGTTGGAATAAGGAGCGACTCAGATCACCTACCAACAATTACACAGGTGGAAAAGACTAAGAAGGAAGAGTTAGAGAACAGAAGAGAAAAAGAGATATACGAATGGAATGAGAAGTCGATTGAAGAATATAGAAGAAAACTGAGAGAGTACAATACAGGAGGAGGAACAGTGGAAGAGATGGCCAGAAAACTAAAAGTAGAGATGGGGAAGGCATCTCGTAAGAAGGTTATCAAAATGGGAGGAATAGAAAAGAGGGGAATTTCATGGTGGGACGAAGAATGCTGGCAGAAGAAAATAGAAGTAAGAAGGAAATTGAGACGATGGCTAAAGAACAGAGGTAATGAAAAGGAATATAGAAAAGAAATTAAGGACTATAAGAAATTAATAAAAGAGAAGAAAGCAAAGAAACAGGATGAAGAAGACCAGAAATTAAAGGATATAAGAACGGAAGCGGAAGCATGGAAATATATAAACCAAGAAAGGAAGATAAAAACGGGATCAAGTAAGAACATCAAGATAGAAGAATGGCGGGAATATTTAATAAGAATTCTAGAAGGCGCAGAAACTAACGAAGAACAGAAGACAGAAGTAAATAGACAGGAAACAGGCACAATAGAAGAAAGGGAAGAAATAGGGAAGGAAGAGGTGATAAGAGTAATAGGGAAAATGAAGAAAGGAAAAGCTGCAGGAATAGACGGCATTCAGAACGAACACTGGATTTACGCAACAGAGAATTAAGTTGAGGGACTCACGAAAATGTTAGATAAGATCTGGAAAGGAGAAGGGTTACCAGAAGAATGGAGAGTGGGGTTAATCAGTCCCCTGCACAAGAAAGGAAACAGAGAAAAAGTAGAAAACTATAGAGGAATTACGTTGTTGAATACAACTTACAAGATCTACAGTTCCATTTTACAACATAAGTTGGAAAGGGATATAGAGGAAAAACAACTGCTACCAGAGGTGCAAATGGGATTTAGAAAGGGAAGAGGAACAATCGAATGCATAGCGACCCTGGATCACATAGTAAGAAGGGAATTAAACGAAAAAGGAGGAAAGGTATACGCGCTCTTTGTAGATTTGAAAGCGGCTTTTGATATGGTTAATAGGGAAAGACTATGGCAGATAATGAAAGACATGGGCATCAGTAAAACACTAATAGAGAGAATTAGAGAAATCTACAGAGAGACAGAAAATAGAATCAGAGTTAATGGAGAAACGTCGATGAATTTCTGGACGAAGAAAGGAGTTAGGCAAGGATGTCCATTAAGTCCAACGCTCTTTTCCTTGTATATAGCAAAATTAGAAGAAAATCTTAGGAAGGCACAGATGGGAGGGGTCACTTTAGGGAAAACAAAAATCTGGTCACTACAGTATGCAGACGATATCGTCCTACTGGCAAAAACGGGTAAAGAAATAAGAGAGATGATGAAAACCCTACAAACATTTGTAAGAAGGAGAGAACTGCAAATGAATGTAGAAAAAACGAAAATGGTTGTTTTCAGAAAGGCGGTAGGGAGAAGTAAGAAAGAGGTTTGGCAATGGGAAGAAAAGACGATAGAAGAAGTAGCGACGTTTAAATATTTAGGGTATACATTTCAAAGAAATGGAAGAAGAACCCAACATTTGGAAAATACAGTAAAGAAGGCAAATAGATTGTTGAAGGCGGTATGGGGACTGGCAGAGAGAAGGTTGAAGAACGATTTCGTTAGAAGAATATGGCTCTTCGACAGCTTAATAAAAAGTGTTATTATGTACGGTGCTGAAATCTGGGGATGGAAGGAAAGGGAGAGTCTAGAACGAGTACAGGCAAAGTATTTGAAATGGGCGTTAGGGTTGGAAAAAGTGACACCAGAGTACATTGTATTAGAGGAAACGAAGAGAGAAAAACTAAGAATAGAAGCAGCACGAAGGGCAATGAAATTTGAAGAGAAGATTAGGCAGAACGTTGAATGCAAAATAATGAAAGAAATGTGGGAAGAGATAAGGGTAAATTATAAGAAGACAGCGGAAGAAAGAAGAGAATTTTACGAAGTAAGAGGTCTAACGGCAGAAGAAGTAGAGAGAAAAAGGATAGAGGGAGCAGAGCCCAGGAAGGAAATTTTAAATCTAGATGAAGAGTTACAAAGAAAAGAGCAAAGGAAAAAAATAGCAGAGTCCAGATATAATCCAAAATATGGAGAAATAATAGGAGGTCTAAAATTACCGGAGTATCTAATAAGAGGGAGAAAGAATGAAGACAGAAAGACAATAGCCAGATTTAGGGTGGGAAATGAAGAAGGAGAAAACTGTTACTGGAAAGAGGAAGAGGATAGAAGATGCGGATTATGTAGGGAATTTCCGGAGACGATTGAACACTGGCTAAAGGATTGTGAAGAGTTACGGGAAGTCGAGAAAGATAGGAACGAGCTATTGAACGAAACAGGTGATGGTCTGGAATGGATGAAAATGATATTAGAAAAGAAACGAAAATAAGGAAGCATTTCGAGAAAGAATATTAGTTTAAGTTAAAATATGTTTAATTGATATATATTTGTACATATATAGATATATTAAGGGAAAAATGTAAACCGGACTTCTTTCAAGTCCCGAATGGGAAAGAAATAAACAGTTACATACATAATTATAACTTGTCTAGATCTCAGCATCCCCTAGCCTCCCTCTAGCTAAGGCCTTGTCTAGAGGTTATGAAATACCAAGAAAATATGAAAAAAAAAAATCCGGATGGACCCCATCACTGTACGTCCTTAAGTTATCCTCCATCAGAAAAACAACTTGAAGGTGTTTATGTTTATACCTCACTGTCAATATGACGATTAAAAATTTATCGTGCCTATCATAACCTTAAAACTTCTTCAAGGTTTCAAAGCATTGGATTTTGTGGATTCAAAAATAAATTGCAAAATGTTGTTTTATGATTTTGAATTTTTTGCAAAAATTTGTACGTTTCTGTTAAAAACTCAACACGGAGTCAAAAACTATATGTGTAGCATCAGTAGTTGAGGAGATTATTTGTCTAATAATCCGGAACTGCAGACAGACGAACAGACAGACAGACAGATAGTCGGAAACGGGAGACCTATTTCTTCGTACTCTAGGGTCGACCGACGGAATAATCTGAATTTATAAAAAAAATGTGAACATAAAGTAATAAAATAATAATCTTCTAAAAATTGTGCGACTGACATCTCCCGCAATTCCAAATATACCTAAAAAAGACCGTTACTAAAAATACTTTAATTTTAGTTTAAATAAATCTTTCTTATAATTTGCCTTTGTTTTCTCAACATACATAGCCATATTTTCACAACAAAAAACTTAGAACATGATTACCATGGTACATTTTTGCAAGGAAATGTGGATTTTGCAATTATGGGGCGGAGCCTAATTCCAAAATTGATATTTCCGTATACAAATTTTCCATTTTGAACATGTTTTAAGTTTCAGGGTGTGAAAAGAAGTCTGCATATATTAAAACAAAAAGGCAAAATGTAAGCCCGCCCACCCACCCTATCTCAATTGTGATGACTTTTTTATTCGTTGTGAATCAAGTGGGCGGAGCTTACCTGCAAAGTACTTGTTTCATTGCAAGAAATTATAAATATGTTTTTGAGTATCGTCTTGTTCAAAAAATACTATGAATATTAAGAAAACAAGACAAAATATAGACCCCGCCCACCCACCCCATCTCAGTTGTGATTATTTTTTTATTCTTAGAAACTTAAAACACGTTTAAAATAGTAGATTTTTGTAGGACATTATGGATTTTGCAATTAGGATCCGCCTCTCGGCTTACGACGAATAAAAAAAGAATCATCAGAATCGAGATAGGGCGGATGGGCGGGGCTTATATTTTGCCTTTTTTTTTTCTTAATATACATAGCCATCTTTTCACAACAAAAACAACATGTACATTAAGAAAAAAGGGGTAAATATAAACCCCGCCCACCCACCCCATATCAATTGTGATGATTTTTTTTATTCGTCGTAAACCAAGGAGGCGGAGCTTAACTGCAAAATACTTATTTCTGTACAAGAAATTAAAAACATATTTTTGAGTTTCGTGTTCAAAAAATGCATGCATGTTAAGAATAAAACGCTAAATATAAAACCCCGCCCACCCACCCAATTTCAATTGTGATGATTTTTTTTATTCTTAAAAGCTTAAAACACGTTTAAAATGGTGTATGGTATCATATACATCAAATAAAATTAACCTCCGGAGAAGTTAATCAGGACATATAAAAATTAATAATAGAAAGTAATTAGTAAATAATAAATAAATAAAGTAATACATTAGTTATCTTATTATTGAATCACCATGTATATGTTTCAATCGGCGCTTGGCAGGAATAATAGTGAATATAAATTTAATTTTGATTTCTCGACGTTTCATAACGCCTAGAGTACGAAATAATAGATTTTCCGTTTCCGTCTGTCTATCTGCGGTCTGTCGTCCGTGTCAATTGTTATTAGAGAGATAATCTTCGAAACTACCGGTCTGATTGTTATCAAACAATGTCCGCTCATCTTTATGTGCAGTAAAGATTATCTACATATTACAAAATGATATACTCTTATACCCGTGGTTTATGATTCCGCCTTGCTTTTTATCACAATTACTTTACAAAATATTGTGCAATAACTTCCATAAATGTTTGGTGTTTTCTTGACGTTTTCTTAAGTATGTCTGTCGTCTGTAGTATGTGTTGATTTTTATTATACGAAACTACTGGATCGATTACTGTCAAATTTTGTGTTTATATTAAGGATACCATGTAGATGGTAAAAACTAACCAAAATTTGTATTATGGTTTTATATACACTTATTTTTTAAGCCTAACAAATATCGTTGGGATAAATATGTATTATTAGTGTAAATGCCTCTATTGTACGTATTTTCGTTTAATTTACAGACAGTATTTGTAAACTTATCTTGAACACACACACCTCCTCAATAAATTTTTATTACATGTATGGTCGAAATAAGATAAAGGGTTCATCGAACGACAAGTTAGTTATAAAATAATATAGAAAGGTTTATTTAATTAAGATCACAGGCCTTGATCTACAGTATTTACCGTACTGATTGCTGTTTTTAGATGCTATTTAATTTAACCTTCTGCTACAAAGTGTTCAGCACGATTTACGCTATTAAACCTAATTATTTTTTCATATAATCCTTTTGTAGTAGGTTTTTACTGTCACATTTAACACATTTTGAAAGTCAAATGTACAACACTATGGCTAGTTTCCTTTAAAATTATTTAAATGCAAGATGCACTACCAACTGTGAAACTCCAACTTCAGGTGCAAGTCGGCGAGTGATGATGTCGCGCTCTTCTTCGACACGTTCCAAAATTTGTTCTTCAGGTTGCAATATTCTTTCGGTCGTATCACGCACACGAACGGAAGTTTGAAAATACAACCATTTCGGAGCTGCTGGCTACCAGTGGCGTGTATAAACAATTTATATTAAATTTCAAATATTTTTTTCTAGACATTGCTACCACTTAGGAACGTGAACTTTACACAGTGCAATAGATCTTATCGTGAAATATTCCCCATTTTTTTTTTTACATACATTTCGAAATAACTCTGTATGGATTAGGTAAATGACTAAACTTAATAAAATTTTCTTGTTATAACTAAGTTAGAATAGAATAGAATATTTATTAACGGGATACCCCTATTACAATATTAATTAAATTATTAATAATACAAGAAACAAAACTTATAAAACTAAATATGTATACTAAATATTAAATAATAAATAAATAAGTTATTATTTATTTTGTGTCATACTGCCTCAAGTACAATATTTCGAAAGTTGGACCTGGCATCTAAACCTGTGAACTCAGTCATATTCATTTCACTTTAATTTAGTTTAAATATTAATTTTTATTATCCATTTGATACCTACAAGCTCAGAAAACATACGCAATCAAAGATAAATTAACAATGAGAAGAAAATGTAAAGAATAGAATATATGATTAAAAAAAAAAATAAAATTTGCTAAAACACATGGTTACTATAGCTGTTTTAAATATATTGGTTCTTAGTATTGGAAGCTTGATTGCCATTCCTGATAAAATATACTGATGTTATTTTGCCACAGAAGGTTTTGCGACGTTTTGTTGATCTTGAAAGATAATACTTCTAGGAAAACTCGCTAGCTGTATATGTCATTATCTGGTGACAAATAGATATAATTAATGTGGTCTGATAATAAGACTTACTTATTTTTTATTATAAATTTTATCACTTTTTCTATTACCTAATTATTTCTTTGTAGATTTTGGAGTGCAAATTCTATTTCTTTTTTTTTTATATTCCTCAGAAAATTGATGACTATAAGTTCCAGAAATTTGTTAAACATTAGTAAGTATTTAATAAAAATGAATCCTATACTGTCCACTGAGAACCAATTGAACTTAAAATTAATTCATTTTTGAATACAGCTTTTTTTTCTGAATTCATTGAAGTAGCACAATCATACTTTCTTTCTGATTGAAATGCCAGAATAAAGTATTTCAATTAAGAATAAATAAAACAAAAAGATGAGATAGCTACCTATGAAAATAATTTTAATTTGACATGTAAGGTGTTTCCTGCAAAAATGTTGCATCCAAGTGAAACTAAGCGCATAGAAATCTCTACGAAGATTTAATGAAATTGAAAGTGTTCAAGAACGTCTAAACCTGGCAGGCCAAAAACTGCTACAAAGGGTGAAAATCCCCTTAACGTCCTCTTAGACGCAATAGAAAATCAATGCAACAATTAGTGCTGAATCATAATGTTAGTAGAAAATCTATTCAAACAATAATGAAAAAGGAAAAGTTTCACCCATACAAAATCCATTTGGTACAAGAGCTAAACAAAGATGATTTTGATCGCAGATTTGAATTTACCGAAATTATTATGAATAGAATACAACAAGATGGAAATTTTATCAACAGGATTTTGTTTTAAATGGTTAAGTGGACAGACACAACTGCAGGCACTGGTCTGACACAAATCCATACTGGATGGAGGAAATCCACGCACAGCGTCCAGAAAAACTGAATGTTTGGTGCGGTATTATTGGTCACCATGTAATTGGTCCCCTTTTTATTAATGGGGACTTAGATCCTGAGCGATACTTACGGGTGTTGCGGGAACGTATAGTGCCTAGGTTTAGAGAATTGTTTCCCAATTACCAAAATCCGGAGTTACCAGCAGAAACTATTTGGTTTCTACAAGACGGTGCTCCACCCCATTTTGGACGTCAAGTGTGATAGTACTTAAATGGAACTTTTCCTGGCAGATGGATAGGCCGAAGGGGTACTATTGAGTGGCCTGCTAGGTCACCGGATTTGACACCGCTTGACTTTTTAATGGGGTTATTTGAAGAATCGCGTTTATATCAATAGGCCAATTCACATTGCAGGCTTACAGGAACGCAGATGCAACGAAATTGCAAGGATTTGTCCAGAAATTCTCATTAACTCACTACAAAATTTTATTCAGCCTCTTTTTCACTACCAGGAAGTACATGGAGAGAATTTGGGCATTTTTTGTAGAAAACAGAAGTTTAATTTTGGTTTCGGTTGTTATTAGTTAATTTATTTCATTATTGTTTAATAATTTATTTTATATAACAACATAACCAACTGACACATGAAAAACATATTGCGACAAAAATATTGGGTAAATGTATGCTTGTCGTTTGAAAGGCGAAAATTTTTATTCTAGAGGTAAGAGGCATATTTGTATGCATGCATTAGATGATGCGCCTCGTTCCGTGCAAGTACCGAGTGTTGCTTTGTTAGTTATGTGTCGCCGTCTGCATCTAAATTGACACAGTATAGATATCAATCAGTAGAGACAGCTCGTGTCGGCGCCTTTGTTCTTTCTGACCCGAATTTTAAGCCGTCATGGGTGGTCGTTGCCTAAACTATTCCTAGATGTCGCCACCCAATTTAAAAAGTATCACTTCATTTACAATTTCAAAAATTGATTCGTGTACGCAATTTATTGCAAACTGTGTAGTTTGCTCAAATCGTATGTATAATCGTGAATCGCAATAAGAAAAAAGAAAAGTCGATATTTAATTTATAAACACGATGATTTGTTAGAGTTTTTATTTTATTACTTATACAATTTGACAATTCGCACATTTTTTCCCCGAATACTTGAGGTTTAATTATCATTGTAAAAATAATGTAATAAATACATCTAAAAAGAAAGAGGTTTATTTAAGAAAAATAAATAAAATAAAAATTAAATTACAAAAATGAAAAAAGTTAAAGCTGCCAAATTATTTTCTTTCTATTAATTTTTTCACCTTTGGCATTTGTAAATTTAAAGCTAGCATTTACAAATTTTAGTGCATAAAATAATCTCATCCTAGCATACAAAGCAAGCAAATAATCGTATGGAAAGTTTTGGCATGGATGAATAAATGTAGCTTGCTTATATAAATTTAAAAATTTCAACAAAGTAGTTGTTTGTAAAATTATATTTTCAAAATTTTCACTAAAAATTTGCTCTAATTCACAAATGTAAAAAAAGAAATTATCGTTTGGCACATATAATTTACCAAATAACTCCCAATTCTTCGTTTGGTAGGCTCTGAAATGTGAATATATGCTTGTGTTGTCTAAACTTTTATGTTCATTTGCATATTTTTCACATTCACTACAACTATGTACTAATAAACATTTCCGAATTAGGTAGCCACAGATATATCTAATTGCGTTTTGTTCAGCTGTGTGAAAGTGATAATCACAATCTTTTAACGTGGTCTTCTGCATCGTGGTGACTGATTCTTCTTCATCGAAACGACGACCTACATTTAACTTTAAAATTTCTTCCATATCAGGCTCGGAGTTTTGATTATCTGTGTTCGTTTCATCAAAATAATCTTGTATGATTAATTTTCTAAAAGCCATTTGAAATTGATTAGATGTGGGGTTAATAGAATTTCCATTTTGTTTCCTAATCCATCCAAAACAGATTTCTAGTGCGTCTTGGCAAAGGCGTCTTGTTAATATATAGTCACACCCATTTTACCTAACAACTTAACCCGTAAGCGTAATATCATATAAAGTAAAATTTTTATTTAAAAAAAATTATTACAAAAAAAATGCATATTTGTCGGCTCACATAAAGGGCAGGTAATTGGAATGGGTCGACGCAGGTAAGAATAATTAAGGAATTCATGAAACCGGAAGTCCATAGGGATTAAGCGAAAAAGGATATTTGACAAAATGTACGGCTTGGGTCATTTTTACCCACGCGCGACTGCTTATGGGTTAAGCAACGTCTCAAAATAAAACTCAAGATTGTGTAGGTCAAAATATATATATATATATATACATGATGAATAAAAAAATTGTTTATTGAGATAAGGTCTGCTTATATAATGTTTTGTTACGTGTAGTTTGTTTCTTATTATTTTTATATTTAATTTTACCACAACAACGGAATCATATATAATAAATTTTTATTATTTATTTCATAACCACCGTTGTTGTCCGTTTGCGACGATTTTTTTAAACAAAAAGTGTGTTATGTTTACTATCTTTTCCAAACACGATGGAGAGAATAAGGCGCACAACAGTGATCCTGTATGAAAATTCATCGGACAAAGATTTTACCTTCTATTGTGAAAATCACATTTTTATACTATTTGTACAATTCTACCGGAAAATCAGTCTTAAACAAGCAAAACCGGCAAAAATATTGTAACAAAACTGCCAAATTTCAAATATTTTAGACGTCAGTTGTGCGCCCTCATTCGGTCATAATGCGAACGATCACCCACCAAAACGGGTCACGAAAAACGGCGAGCTGTCTCTACTGATTGATATCTATACTGTGACATATGACGCATTTGTGCAACCAGTTAAACACATGTGTGTGGTCCATGTGTGGTCTTTATCACGCGTCGTTGGGCACTTAGTACGGATATCTGTACAGTTAAATCTGAGAGGCGGCACGTTTACATAACCTACTACGACCCTATAATCATTTATAGAAACCCTGTATAGTGTTTTTTTTTTGAAAAGTTGCTACAAACTTTCTACAATGTCTAAAAATGTGTAAATAAAGATTTCACAGTCATTAAGCATTTTTATTAAAGATACATATAACTTCCACAACATCCTTAAATAGTGCCTGTCTTCTAGACCTTACAAATACAATTCAACAGGGAACAATCTTCTCCACAAAGCATACCTTTCCTCGAACAAGTGATTTCTTAAGACCAACTCTTGTCCAATGTCTAGATATAATTTAGTATCAACATTGTATGGTCTCCATATAGGATAAACACTTGATTTTTCGTTGGGGTCACTAAAATTTGTTAGTGTGAATTTCTAAGACGACAGTTTTACTAAGATATTGTATTAATTTTGAAAACGTTCCTTGTGTCTTAAAAAATTTGCTACTTTATAACCTGATTTGAAAAAAATGATTCTAGTACTTACGCATGTTTAGCAAAATTTGTCCACAACGAAGTCATGATTTCTATCATTTTGGAATCATAGATTCTGTTCTGAATGGGAACATCGAACAAGTATAATATATCCTCCGCATGGAAGACACCTAAAATTTATAATTAAAATGAAACCGGAAAAGTTTTCTCGGTTTACCAAATGCATTTGTTTTTTGATATGTAAATTTATAATAATACACAGAACAACTGCTTTTATTAGATATTAAATCTACAGCTCTGTTCACGGCAAATCCAGTAATACCATCAGCAAAAGCCTAAAATATCAGTCTTTCAAATGTTAAACATTTACTTCCTTAAGTGTTTAAATTTACTTCTCCAAGTGGTATCAAAGACAACAGAGTTAAACGTCCATCCCCTAAATAAAACTGTCGTATCGTGCGACTTATGTTCTTGGATTTCTCTGTGTGTCTTTCATAACCGAAAATAACTGGTGCCCATTTTTCAAAATTGGTATTGAGTTCTTGCCGAAGTGTTTTATTTAGGATTAAATCTAACAACCGATTAAACATTTTAGTATCAATGAAACACACACAAAAATTCTAAAAAAGTACTTAGTGTTTGAAAAGCGAACTCATTCTGGGTAACTCCTACCAGAACAGGTAATTCTTGAAAATTGTTATTTACAATGGACTTGACTGGATGTTCGATGATGAACCGTTGCTGACCATAATCTTTTTCAATAACAGGGGTATAAGTCAAGAGCGGGTTCTTGCCAAATTCCTAATTAACAACATTAACACAATACAAAGAAATCAAAATAATCTTACCAAAAACCGAGGTAAAGTTTTAACAATTTCCTCCGCGCTTTTTGTTCGTAGACAATCTAAAATTCGTCCAGGAGTATCATCTGGGCAGCCAACAAACCGAGCTTGTTTTTGAGCTACGTGGCAGCCATTTAATGACATCTCTCGAGGATTTTCTGCGGAATAGCAGCTGAAAATTGCCCTGTGGAAAAGTCCGCGAGACATTGGAGAAAGTAAGTGGTAGTTAACACTACCACCACCTACACTGGAACCGGACAGAGTAATAGAGTTTGGATCGCCACCAAATGCGTGTATGTATTTTTTTATCCATTGTAGAGCAACCACTTGGTCTTTCAAGCCGTTGTTCCCAGGAACGTCTTTACCCAAAGACAGAAAACCTAAAGCTCCGATGCGATAATTTAAAGTGGCCAGAACAATGTCCTGGTCTAACAAAAATCGAGGGCCCACCATGTCGCTACGTGCTGTGCCAGACACGTAAGCTCCACCGTGAATAAATACAAGCACTGGAAGCTTATTAGTGTTTTTGACTGAAGGTGGCTAAAAGAGAGTAGTGAATTAAAGAATGTCTGTAAATTTTTTCAAACCTTAGTTGTATAGATGTTAAGAAACAAGCAATCTTCTGAAGTGGGTATGGTAACGCCGTCTTGCTGAACTTGAGGACACGCTGGTCCGTCAACTGTGGCGTTGTATACTCCAGACCATTTTCCTGTAGGGACAGGGGGCTACTAATCTACATGTTTCATCATACAAGATCAAATTATGTATAGATTTACCTGGAATCTGAGACTATTTATTGGTGCCTCTGCATAACGGATTCCTCTGAATGAGTAGATAGTTCTACCCAATCTCGATTTTAGTGCTGTGGAACCTAAGATATCTCCTAAAGGAGTGGTTATTTTAACAGATAATGTAGCAACAACCACGTATTTTAAACCAACTAAAATAAGCGCTTCTAACAACATCTTAAACTGCACTATGTAATTGAAGATCAGGTGTTTTATATGTAGGCTCTAGCTACTATTAAAAATTTTCGTGATTGTACTGGCGTATGAGGAAAAACTAAAATTGTAAACAGACAGAATTATATCAATTACCATAAGAATGTATTCTTTGAATTAACATAGTACTAGATAATATGGACAATATATGGGAATTACCTTGAAATATAAATATAACTGCTTGCTTCGTGGAAGGGGTATTATACTATTTATCATATATTTATATATTAAAGAATTTTCGTTTTTTACTTCCGAGCGTAAGCAAAGGAAGTATTGTAATCGACTCCGAAGGCCCACTCTCTACTTTTACATTTTCTCGACTTTTCATGACCCCTAGAGGACGAAGAAATAGGTCCACCCACCGTTTCCGTCTCTCTGTCCGTCTGTCTGCTGTCCCGAATTTTTATTAGCCAGATAATCTCCGAAAGCACTGGGCCGATTGTTATCAAATTTTGTATTTATATTAGGTATATCATGTAGATGCTAAAACGCTAATCAAAATTTGTCCAATCATCCCCACCACAAATGTGATGACGTCACTTCAAAATTGTACATAGTAGATGGGTTTAAAATTGTATAACATAACATAGTCCTACAGAAGTAGTTTATGACTCCGACTGAAGTTTTTACCCGAAACATCCAGATTTTTGAAAAAAAAAAAACAAAATTATGAAAAACATTTTGCAATTTAATTTTCAATCTGCTAAAACGAACGCTTTGAAATCCTGCAAATGTTTTAGGGATATAAAGAGCATAATAGATTTTTAATCAAAATATATTTAGTTATCCCCTCCAAAAAACTGATGACGTTAGCTCAAAAGTTTGTCAAATAAATCCTATCTAAAATGTACAAAATATGATGACTCTGTAATTATAATTTATCATTTCATTCATATTTTTTGGATTTGCACATACAGGGTGACCAAAATAATTAATGAATGCGTAAATGTATTTTATTGATTTAATCAGGAACTACAAAACCGAATGATTTGAAATCTACTGCAAAAAAAAACATAATAGGCATGCAGTCGTCACGTTTCCGACAGCGAGGGAAGTACTGTCTAAACTCTTTAGACCAAAGTATAAAATGTCTACAGTTGTTTAACGTTTTTAAAAACTTCCTTTTCTGTGACTCTGTGAAGTATAATTCGTAACTGGAATACTTTGGACATCTGGCGGATCAACTCTGTACTTAAGGAAAGGTTTCTGGTTCGTTTCGGCGGTCTGTTATAGCACTTGACGCTAGAGGACATGCGATCACAATCATCATTGAATTAATAGAACTAAATATTAATACTATTACTAGTATTTAATGGAACTGCTGAATTTAATATACGAAATTTGTCCAAAGTTATTCAGACAGAATTTCCCTCGTGGTTGACGTAACAGACGAACAAATACGTACACCTTCGTAGAAAAATTACAAAATTTAATTTTGCGAATTGTATTTTATTTTATGATAACCCCAGCAATATTTTGAAATGATGTCATGTCATTTCGATTAGAGTCATGAAGTTTTTAGGGGAGATAGAAAGGTAAATATTGATTAACGATTTAGCATGCTTAAAATGTAAAAATTTTAGAGCATTCGATTTCGCGGTTCCTAAACTAAAAAATGTTGCGCAGTTTTGGTTTTTTATAGTGTAGAATTATGTTACATAATAAAATTTATAAATCATTTACCCCGATGGGCAGACAAATTTTGGTTATCATTTTACCGTCTACCCATAACACATAAAATCAGTCCAGTAGTTTCGGAAATTATCTATCTAACACAATCGCAAACAGATCACAAATGCCAAACATACAGAAATGGGCGACCTATTTTTTCGTACTCTAGGGGTCATGAGTCGTCGAGAAAAAATGAAATGAACTATACGCCTGGTCGAAAACAAGTCCTCTAGAAATTTATTTTTAAAATCATAATTTGACAGTTACTTGAACGTTAACTGTTAAACTGGACAAGGAACGCGTTGGTGTTACCTACATCCAGTCTGGGCAGTATCTAAATACTTGTATCTAAATAAAGTATCTAGATACATTTTTGGCTACCTAGTATCTGTATCTAGATAAAATCGAATTTAAGCACAAAATATCTGTATCTAGATACAAAATTAATGGTGCAGATAGAAATACATTTTTTATTTCACTTTTTTTTCAGTAGTTATTAGTTGAGTTATACCTACTAGTAGTAATTTTTGATACTTCATGTTGGTGATTTTGGTCACATAAACAAAAATAGAGGTAAGAGATGCACTTCATATTTTAAATACCATCATTTCCTACATTTTAGCCTTCAGTACTTATACATCTTTAAATATAATCCTGAGGGGTAATAAATCTAAGCCATGGCACGCCATGGTAAGATGGCATTTTAAAAACCATAAACCACAATTCACTATTCATTGCGTTTTACTCTTGTCGGGGCAATGCATTTTATCTGTGTACCTGAGCAATCCGGGTCCGGTAGGCCTGCTGGTTGTATTTGTGTTATTAAATAAGAGTAATTTTAATAGTAAAAATATTTGTTTAAGGTATGTTATTATTTTTAGAAAGTAATAATTGCGTGTTACATAATGATTAATTTTTTCAATTAGAATAAATTAGTTTTGTAATCGGCTAATCGAATGTTCAATACATACATTTCTCTCGCATAAATCGCATATATGTTACTGTTTTATATCTTTATTTTTCAGACAAATGTAGCATCTTTTCCTGTTGCCACATGTGTCATTTCTTCACTTTTTCATTGTTGGACCTAACGCGAGGCGGGCTTGGCAGGTCCGTTTTGCCCTAGAATGTGCCGATTATGTTCAAGTGTAATTATCTTGGGCAATAAAATTAATATTTTTACAACCCTCGGTAGAATAATTTATCGTGATATATTCTCAGAAATTGTGAAACGAGATTAAAATAAATGAGTTTCAACAAAAATCTGAAAATTTAAAGTTGCACTCCGGTGATTCCGGCCTGCCAGGCAGCCTTTGATCCTATAAGGATAAGGGGTTTAAATACCTTTCTAAGAAATTGTACTTATTTTGCCGTAAAGGCGCCGTCTGGAAGCAAAATATCGGCCTAGTCAAAGTGAGAATAAAACTACCCGGGAGATGCTGCTTCCTGTTAGTGAGTTGCTAAAATATGAATAAATGCAGCACCGATCCGTAGAATTCTACTTTTTACTGTACGGAAATAAGTTTTGGTACACAAGCCCGCAGTCTAGCCATAATAACAAAACCGGGGTACCTGAATTTACTCTTGACCGTTCAAAACCGGAAAGATGTGAAACTCACTGATTCATTTTCCTATTTTGGCTACAGTTAATTCTTTCCAGATAATTATCTATTTTGTTTCCGTAGGTACTTAAATAGTTTTCAGTAAATACTTATATTTATTATATGCAGGGGCGGCTGGTCAGGGGCGGCAGGGTCGGCCACGCCGTACCAGTCATTTTAAAATACTTAGTAAGCGTTGAAATTAGAAAATAAAAAAGAAATACAGTTTGAATGTACGTTAGGATAGAACATATATATTAAAAAATAAATTTTATTATATTGTAGGTACAAAATAAAGCATTTGTTGCTAATTTTAAATGCTGATAAACACGCTTGGCCGGCGAGATTTCGGCACGCCGTATCCAGGAATGCATAATTCTCGATGTTTCGACTTCGTAGCAGCGTACGGTTTCATCGTTCTCTTTGTCTACTGCACTGTAGTAGACAAAGACCTGGCGGAACGTATGTTGCGCCAGGTCCGGCGAGATCCTTCTTCGCCGTACCCAGCAATGCGAATTTAGTTTTTAAAACGCTTAATATTTGAGATAGCTAACAAAATTACGAAACAATAACGGCTTCGATGCTCTTCAGTGCTTACTATTTTTTTTTTAATAATAATAATTGTCGATTTAATAATACATTTTCCTGTGTATGAATAATAAACGAAAAAAATTACATTAAATTAACTAAAATTTTATTGTTCGTACATAACTTAACTACAACATAAATGCGCTTTTTCTGTATTTTCTGCATCTAAGCGTTTTCAGATATTTCAGAAATGAATTTAAAAAGTTTTAAATCATTTTAAGTTTAATTCAATAATTATTCAATTAATTTATTTGACAATTTGCCATATACATTAAAAAAAATAAATGTAAATGAAGATATTTAACAGTTGGTACTTTTATTATTACTTTTTTTATATTTTTTAACTGCATGTCATTATTTAATTATTATTATTTAATTGTGGATGTCCGGGGTCGGCAAGCCGTATAGCCGCCGGTCGACGCGGAACCCAGTAAAAATAATTTTTTCGTTGGTTCTCAATTAATGATAAAGCGGAACAAGTAGAATTAAGTATTTGGAATCAAACTGACATTGTCAATTTCCTATAAAAAAAAATTATTTTAACAAGTCGAGGTCGAAACATTTGAGATGTTTTGTACATCCTGGCACGTAAAATGTCAGTGGTTAACGAGTAGCGGCCATACATTACGAAAATATATAACACCAAAGTGTACACTCAAAATATTTGGCCGACCCGAAATTTTGACCCACCAGCCGCCACTGATTATATGTAAATAATTAAAGTATCTCTTTCTGTCGTGGGATCATCTGTAGATATGTGATTTAATTTAATTTAATTTAATTTAATTTAATTTTAATTTGACGGGAAAACCCCAATTTACAATACTATAAACTATACAAATTGAAATTATCTTAGAAAATACAAAAACAAAAAACTAATTAAGTAAATAAAATCTATATACTTATAAACCCTTCACTAATAATTTTCCTAAAGAATTGAAAATGAATTAAACTAAAATACTAACATTCTATCATACACTTTAATTTACAGACCTAAACTACACTTAATTCTAGATTTGAATTTTGATCTGCCACAATCAAATAATAAAAATGTTGAACTTTCCGCCATCCTATTAGCCGTTTCCATCATCCGTTTGATCGGAT